TATTTATTTTGCATCTTTCCCAACTGATTAATCAGGACCAATTTTGCTTAGAAACTTCCAGATTTACTATTCCAAACTTGTTTTTTTATTGGTAATCTTGAATTCCCAATTTGAAGGCTTCCAGTCTTGTTGCCAACATTTGGAATACCTCTTTTTTTTAAGGATGGAATACCTCTTAATTGGGCATTCGTTGAGCTTAATTTGTCCATCAGTGCCGAAAATGTCATATAACAAAATAGCTGTCGCTTTAGCATGCATTAGACTAGTAACAATTTGTTTTTAGTAATACATGTTTATTTGGTTGTAGAGTGATTTTGGGGGAAAAATACAATTTCATATCTGGAAAGCTATTTATCTGCTTTTGATTTAGGGTTGGCCTTTTGTTTAACACTAAAAAAGGCTCATCTATTTTGTGCCGTCAGAATAGTTTTTCGGCTAAAATTACTTAGCTCCTATGTAGCAAGAAAAACACTGAAACGAAAAAAATGGTTTTATTATCTTTGTACATATGTCTCTTGATTATTTGATAAATCCAAAAAAAGGGAAAATGGTGTCCATTGTCTTTTTAAGTTTTTTTTCATACTTTTTCTTTTCACTTTTTTGGGAGGGTGTGTGTGGAACTCCGCCTATGCCATTTTAAAGTAACATTTATAATCGCATAGCCGGTCTCAGGCCCCAGGAAAGGAGGAGAGACCACCAATGTGCTTGTAGAGTGTGCTTGAAGAGGGGAATATAGTACTCCCTTCGTTTTTATTTACTCTGCATATTAGACTTGACTGAAGTTAAACTTCGTAAAGTTTGATCAAGTTTATAGAAAATAATATAGACATTTATCATAATAAATCTATACGATGTGAAAGTACGTTTAATAATAAATCTAATGTTGTTGATTTGTTATTGTATATCTTAATATTTTTGTATATAAACTTGATCAAAGTTTGTAAAGCTTGACTTTGACCAAAGTTAATATGCGAACTAAATAAAAACGGAGGGAGTAATATACATTAGAGCATCCATGAGGTAGTTGGTATGACTAGCTTTGAGTCTGCCCGTCGTGCGTCGACCCCGGGTCGGTGACGATTATTGTATATAATCTAATGTTGTTGATTATTTAATAATGCAACTTGCATTTAGATTTCATTTTTGGAAAAGGAGGGAAAAGAATAGCATAGCAAGCATAACCTGCTCCAGCTGAGTAACTTGTCCTACTCCACTATGAATCATAATTTTTTGTGATATAAAATGTAGTGGACATCATAATAGGCGAGGTTAGGCATCTTGCAACTCTTATGCATGGTCCATCTTAATTAATTATTTCTACTACCTCTCTCTCAGTTTATAGGGCGTGCGCGTGCCCCTAAGTCGTTAATTTGACCAACCTAATACAAGTCATATATTACAAAAAATATATCAATATAAATTTCAGATGTTCTATTTTCAAACCGTATAATTTTTGTGTTATATAATTTATATTAAGATGATAAAATTAACGACTTAGGTATATGTGTAGGACTTATAAACCGAAACGGAGGTAGTACGATCTATTGGCACATTAATGATCATGCATGCGCGGCTGTTGGTCGGGCCCTGTCATGCTCATATGTAGTACTAGTACAATAAGCAAGTGGCAGTTAACAAATGCAACTTTATCATCGCCAGGTGTGCTCTCATGTCTTGATTACGGGTCGAGTAACTGTAGACTATACTCCCTTCATTCCGGTTTATATGTCTTATCTTTATAAGGCTCAATTTCGTTATTTCCCATTACATGTTCAGATCCTAAGGTGCATTAAATCATTGCATATAAGTATTAACAGAAAATTGACCAATGCATGTACTTTATACATGCATGCATTGGTAAACATCATTTTTAAGGAAAACAAGAGCATTAATTAGATGCTTTGGCAAACTATAAAAAATATTCCATCACTCACCATCTATCTTGGTTGGTTAGATTTTTGAATTGAGCTCTATAAACCGAAAAGGATGGAGTATGATTATATGATTGGAAGTCATTTCGTTCAGACCCTTATCTCCAGGAGGGTCCGGACACGATTTCTCCCGCAAACTAGAGACAAACGTGAGGACGCTTTGTGGGAGTTCAGACCGCGGTTACACCCGCTTCTGATTGCCCTGGCCCCTCCTCCCTTTCGATGTGTTCCTGCGTGGCGCCAGCTGCCCGTATTTATGCCGCTACACATAGAAGACGGCTTGGGCCGATGCGACCTCTCACTGTTCCGTCATTGAAGTGATGCGTCGGCAGAGGACACCGCCAACGGCGCGTCTCCGGTGTCCACGCCTATTCAACGTTGGAGACGCGTGACTGGACTGGACGGGAGGGCTAACTCCACAATACAACACAAGCCGCTCCCCATCCTCCTCCCCTTGGACTGCATCTGTCATGACCTCAAACGGCGAAGCTCTGTGGGAGAGCCTTTTCACTGAGATGAAGCATGCGGTGGCCGCCCTTGCCGCCACTTGACAGAGCCAACATTCTAGGAGGATCGAGGCTAGCTTGCCCGAGGTCTCCGACGATGAGGACAACCCCACGATAGAGACGGCCTCCAATGACACGCCCCGGCTCCCGCGCTTGGGCATGCTGGCTTCACCATGGAGCAGGCGCATGGACACTGCAACGTCGCCATGGCCGAGGTGCAGCCTTTGTCGGCATTCTGGTAGGCGCGGGAGGAACAACGTTACAACATGTTCCTCCTGGCGTAGCACCAGCTGGGGGAGGGCTAGATCTACGGCGAGAGCACGAGCGAGGAGGCCATGACGGCCATTGCCGGGGCGAACCCCAACTTCGTCACGGAGAAACATGCCATCTACGATGCCGTCGACGCTCCGCCGCGGAGGCATAGCTCCAGGCGATCGCGGATGAGAAAAACTAAAATTACCATCATTTGATCTCGTTTAACAACAAAAACTGCCACGATTGCCATCCCCTTAGACTACCCACAGTGGGAGGGGGGGGGGTAGCTTTAACCAGTAACATGCATATGTTGCTACTATATATTACTACCTCTATAGTGGAGATTAACATATGTGTGGTATCATGCAACACTTTATTTATTAGGTTGTAGACTATTCTTGTCTTGATATGTGTAAACTAGGTATGTGACCACATGCCGCTCTTTCCTCATTAATTACTTGTCACATCATCTATTTTGCCTAAATAAGTGTAATGTTACTAGTACCTCCGTCTGGATTTATTGGTCCCTTTCGTATTTTCTGATCAACTTTGACCGTAGATTTTATTAACAAATTATAAGTTGTATGTCAAAAAACTTATATTGTTGGATTCATATTTGAAGGAGGTTTCTAATGATATTATTTTTAGGATATACAACTTATTTTATTAATAGTTAAATCAAAGGTCAAATTTGACCCAAACTACAAGGAGGACAAATAAACCAGGACCAAAGTAATACCTATGTTACTTCCACCCTGAGTAGTCCTACCGACTGTAAAAGAAATTACAAGCTACAACGCATATGCTTAAACCCCAATAATGAAGGCTTAAGGTGGCTTAGTACTTTTCCCCAAAGACCCCCAAAATCTGCTTCTCCATTCCCCACTGCACCAAAATATTCCGCAAACATTTGCCACCGCAGCCACTTGTACCAGGGAGGATGCCTTCGCGAAGCCCAGTCCGACCGTGCTTGACTCCATGCTAGTCCTCCTCTGCTTCGCAGGACCAGCCGCTCCCATTCGCCTTTCCTCCACCCTCTCGCCGTCGACGAGCCCTCAGATCCACAAGCCTGAGTCCTTGCGCTCCTGCCGCCGTGACGCCTGACTCAGTGACTCCGTCCTCCTCGAGCCTCTCGAGCAGAGCTGCAGGTGGGAAGAAGAGCCCCCCACTCAGCAATCTTCACCGCCCCCCACTCGCTTCGGCAGGCCTCCGGTCGTTGGCAGCAAGTACAACCAGATCCGGCTGCACTCCAGTCAGCCTAGCTAGCTTGTCGTCCAGATCGGAACTGTGAAGGCGCCCCGCGTTTGACTCCAACTCTCCCAGGTTTGACTCCTTTTTCTCCTAAGCTTCCTTTAGATCCATCTGCCTAGGCCTGCTGCTACTTGAATAATCATTCATCTTCTTCATTATATCGTGATATTCAGAATTTTTTTTTAAAGGAAGACTGATATTCAGATAGAAGGTGGAAAATAGGAACAAGAAAGAAGCTCGCAAACAGGAGACTGTGAGAGCCTGCAGGCCATGGAGTTTGCCACGGGGGCGTTGGGCACCCTCCTCCCCAAGCTAGGGGAGCTGCTACAGGATGAGTACAACCTGCACAAGGGTCTGAGGAAGGGGATCAAGGACCTCAAGGATGAGCTCCTGGTCATACAAGCTGCACTTGTGAAGGTGTCCGACGTGCCACTAGACCAGCTTGATCCGCTGGTCAAGATTTGGGCAAACGATGTCAGGGAGCTGTCCTTTGCCATCGAGGACAGCCTCGACTCCTTCATGGTTCGTGTCGAGGGTGTTGAGCCGACAAAGCCACACACCTTTTTCGGGTTCATCAAGAAGACCTGCAAGAAGGTCACCAAGCTCAAGATTCGTCGCGAAATAGCCAACGACATCAAAGACGTCAAGATCCAAGTTAAAGAGGTCAAGGAGCGGTTCGACAGATACAAAGATGTTATTGGTAATACTAATGCCCGAACGGAAGTCGACCCACGTCTCCTGGCCATGTACACCAAAGTATCTGACCTTGTTGGCCTTGAAAAGTCAATGGATGAGCTAACAGAGAGGCTGTCTGAGGGCAATGATCTGTCCGGTGAAAAGCTCAAGGTTGTCTCTGTTGTTGGATTTGGAGGATTGGGCAAGACAACTCTTGCTAAAGCCGTGTATGACAAGCTTAAAAAGAATTTTGATTGTGGGGTTTTTGTTCCGGTGGGTCAAAGTCCAGACACAAAGAAAGTTCTCAGGGATATCCTCCTTGAACTTGACCGGCAGCTGTACAGAGATGCAGCAACAATGGATGAAAGGCAGCTGATCAATCAGCTGCAGACAATCCTAGTAGGCAAGAGGTACGAATTAACCTCACCCTATACTAGTCAATAACTTCGATCTCTCTGCCACGTGTGCGCAGCTACACTATAAAGGCTTTGTGTTGTGGCGACCTGTCAATGAAAATACTTAGGGGGTGTTTGGTTGAGTAGTCCTAGGACTTTTTCTAGTCCCAGGGACTAATTAAAAAAGACTCTCTAGTAGAGTCTTTTTCTAGTCCCTGTAGAAAAAGTCCCTCCCGTTTGATTCCTAGGGACTTTTTAGGGACTTTTTCTAGTCTCTGAGACTAAAAAGTCCCTGAACCAAACACCCCCTTAGTATGGGCGTGGTTAATTAATCTGCTTAGCATATATGCAATGGCATATTGCCCAACATAATAGGAATGTTACTTTAGGCTTTGCCCAAACAAATAATGAAGGACATACATATTCTGCTTTCGATTCATCTACTCCAGAACTATAACATGTATAGGCAACATTTGTTAGTTTTATTTTTCATTTTTTCATAGCAATTTCTGATGCATATTATTGGACAAGGTACATTAAGGAAAAGCCAATACAAAAGGAACATAAGAAATACCCAAATTCAACTCAAGAGGATGGACACATACAGCTCGTTATTTTCTCTGTTCCCTTTTTCCTCATGCTCTTCAGCTCAACTGATTACAAGGCGTTTAGTAGGAAACATGCACACACTCACGGCCAAGCTGCACACCTGCTTGATCCGAACTTCACTCTCGGCTAGCTGCACACACGTTAGCCACTGCCAAGTCCATGTAGATCAGTTGGTCGCGTGGCACCTCTGTTCCTTGGCTAAAGTTTGAGATTATTACTATCAATCACATTAATGGAGTCATTACATGGATTACTTCTGTGGTCAACTATCTCTAAGTTTACTACTAACTAATGCACATCCAATCATCCAGAATTTAGCCATATGAAAACAGATAGTTGAAGGCCAATATTGAAAAACAAAATTTAAAGTTTGAGATTTATCTAGGATATAATCTTTTTACGATTGTTAATGTCTTTTCAGTTCTGGTCTGTTGGGGTGCTTCTTGTTCTAGTGGTTATATGTCAGATAGTTCTTGCTAATTAAAGATTTTCCCTTATCATATAAATAGGTACTTTATTGTTATTGATGACATATGGGATATACAAACATGGGAGGTGATCAATTGTGCTTTCATGGATAGTCATCCAGAGAGTAGAATAATCATTACTACTCGTGATGTTGATGTTGCCACAAAAGTTGGTGGTATCTACCGCATGGAACCACTTTCTGATGATAACTCCAAAATGTTATTTTATACAAGAACATTTGGTGGCGAAGGAGCAAGTTCAGATAACCAGCCTGCAGAAGTGACAAACAAAATTTTGAAGAAATGTGGTGGTGTGCCTTTAGCTATCATTACAATAGCTAGCTTGCTTGTTGGTAAACGATGTGAGGACTGGTCTAAGGTGTATGATGCCATTGGGTTTGGACATGAAGACAACAAAGTTGTTCAGAACACAAGAAAGATATTGTCTTTTAGCTATTATGATCTACCGTCCCATTTGAAGACCTGTCTATTATATCTAAGTATGTTTCCTGAAGATAGCTTGATCATGAAAAGAACACTGATTTGGAGGTGGGTTTGTGAAGGTTTTGTCCCAGATAGAGAAGGTATAGGGTCATTTGAGCTCGGGCAGATCTATTTCTATGACCTAGTTAACAAAAGCATGATCCGGTGGATTGATGAAGATGATGATGGCCAAGGTGGTTGTCGTGTCCATGATATGGTGCTCGATCTCATCCGCACCATATCAAATGATATTAACTTTGTTACGGTACATGATATGGAGCAGCATGGCACAAGTTTGCAAGGACAACAAACAAATAGGGTTCGCAGATTAGCACTTCATAGAAGAAGTGTGGAACACAACTCTAGCATTGGCATGGAACACCTGAGGTCATTTAATGTTGTTGGGTGCAGTGCCAACAGTATGCCCCTGCTTTTGAGCTTTAACGTATTGCGTGTGCTAGTTATTGAGGATTGTGTTTTCTCGGAAGGTCATAGTCTTGAGCATGTTGGGAAGTTGGTCCAGCTGAGGTACCTGGGATTAGTGAAGACAGCGGTCAAGATCCCTGAAGGAATAGGACATGATCTGAAGTTTCTTGAGATATTGGATGTAAGGGGAGGTTTGATAAGTGAGCTGCCGCCATCTGTTGGTGAGCTAATGAAATTGAGGTGCTTGTGGGCTGATAAAGGTACAGTGATGAAGGGCAAAATAGGGAAACTGACATGCCTTGAAGAGCTGCAGCTATATACAGTGGAGAAGTGCCCAAACTTCTTCACAGAGGTGGGGAAGCTGACAGAGTTAAGGTTGCTCAAGATCTTTTTCGGTGATATAGAGGAGTCTGCATGCAAGGCCCTGATGGAATCTCTGTGCAACCTGCACAAGATCCATAGTCTGACAGTTGTGGATGATTGTTATGATCGTGAGTATTCGGTTGTCCCCAACCATAGCTTGGAAGACTTGGCACCCTGTACAAAGCTGTACGAGTTAGGTCTGTTTAGCATAGTTATACCGAGGGTGCCATCATGGATCAATCAGTTAAGTGTTCCACTCCTTTCTCATCTATGTCTGCATGTGGATGCGGTAGAAGTTCGGGATGTTCAAACCATCGGCAGGTTGCCGTCCCTCCTCGTCCTTTTTCTCTGGAGTAAGGATGAAAAGAACATATCATATACTTTTGGCAGCAATGAGTTTCACAAGCTGAGAGTCTTGTTCACGAAGAAGATAGAGATTGCTGTTGGAGAAGGAGCATTGCCGATGCTTGAAGTGCTGAGCTACAGTGCAAGCGCTGAAAGAAAGGACGCTGCCAGCTTGGTGCCGTGGAGGAGAAATAGCTGCCCTTTGCTGAAGGACGTCACCTGTGTCCTTGACTGCACTAACAGCAGCTACAGGGAAGTAGAGGAAGCAGAGGAAGCGCTGAGGCAGGCTTCCGGCACACGTCCCAATGCTGTGTATCTAGATCTCGACATAGAATACGAAAACTACGATGAGGAGGCAGGTAAATTCATTGATAATCTGGAGTGGACCCTACGTGGTTTGGACAGACCCGAGGATGTGGGCCGTCCTGCTGCACACCAGGAAGAGAGGACACGTCGCATGATTAGATCACTCGAGAGAAGGTTACGTGACGCCGCGGAGCCTCCTCGGGTGGGGAGGTACGGCGAACAAGAGATACGTGGCCTTGTTACCAAGTTCAAGAGTTGGCTACATGATCATGCAGGCACCGACCAGGATGAGGTACGTACATACCACTGTCAATCATATATATTTATACATGTGTATATGTCATGTCGCTGATGGTCGGCTGGCCGGTTTTTGCCTAATAAATCTCCAGGCGGGCAAAAACGATGCCACATACCAAGATGACGACGACGATGAAGATTATTATTACGACGACGACGACGACGATGCTACCGACCAAGCAGAGGTATGTGCGTACACACTACGTACTACATCATGTTGATTCACACGCTACATAGAAAACCACATATCATGTTACTAATGACTGATTGGCTGGCTGGTTTATGCGTAATTAATCTCCAGGCAAACGATGGTGAAGCCACTTGCAGTGGGGAGGGGGCCAGCCAAGCATGAATCTCTTCCTTGGGCCATGCCATGTAACTCAAGCTGGTAATAAACGGGCAGACTCTGTCTCTCGCTTTTTCCCATTTGTATCCACATATGTCCACCTCTTTATATTGGCATCAGGCAGGATGCCACACAACTAATTACTCTTCTCATTTCGAATTGTACCAAATTAATACTTATTATTTTTCTAAGCAACTCCCCAATGTAATTTCGATGTTTGTAAGCAATTCTTTTGGAGATTCCAAATCAATAAATTAAGAAATAGTATATAGCAATTCTTCTGTACGGTTTCATCTTTTAATTAGAAATCCACCATTAAACTTTCTGCTTACAGGATGGTGGCCATCTTGAAGGCTTCTATGGACTTACTGTCGCCACTTGGAAGGTGCCAGCTCATTTCGTCCATGGCTGCGAAGAAAATCACAAAAGAAAATAGGTTTCTCCTTTAGCGTTAGACTGGGTTGTAAAAGAAAAAACTGAAAAAACTAAAACATGAAAAAAAATAGAGATAGAGTGCTTTTCT